ACCCCATCTGTGCTACTCGAGGCGTTATTTCCTACACTTTGCGTCTGAGTGACTAATTCAGGGAAGATACAACAATTCTTTAGCAGACGTTTGGTCAAAGGATCGGCTTCACGTAGACGTGATACATTCCCAGACGTTTCACCGGCATCGTCAGTAAGTATCGCCACTCTTAGCACCATACAACAACTCGTCACTCGTCTATTTGACGAGTTGTCGTGTGGTGCTAAGACTGGCGAGACTCACTGACGATGCCGGCGAAACGTCTGAGAATGTATCACATCCACTGTCCTACTTTGGAAATGATCATGCATACAATGGTCTCCGGACTAGGTGTGTTCCTCTAAGCCTTCCTACCAATATCACCAAGTTGCGAAAACAAGGTCAAACAACCTCTGCTTTTACTTTGTTTGCTTTGTTTTCCTGCCATCTTCTCATCACGATATTCATTTTGCATCCTATTGATTCTCCTGAATATCCGTTTCCAAAAGATATCTATGTTAATTTTTTCTGGTTATCTTTCTGGAACTCAGAATCGATGAGTCGTGATCTTCTTATGTCTATACTCCTGAGTAATCTAAACTTCATTATGTAAGTATGGTGAAAATAGAATTTCAGTATTATTTATACATGCGATTTCTTTCGGAATAGCCGATTTCTCGGGATTTCCAAGGGGTGAATGATCTCTACACTCATAAAAGGTAAGTGCCTGTTCTTTTCTACATCCATCATAAATTTGAATTTTCACCTTAGAATTTGATATAGCTGTCGCTGCTTTCAACGATAGGTTACAAATTTTTATATTCTTAATTATAAATCAGTGAGTATTAGGTTAATAAGTTAAGGTAATTGATCTGGCTTTTAGAGGTTTAGATACCTAAGTGAAAATAAACCCAAAGGCGATAATAGATCTTAGAAGTTGTGATTATTGTTCCCAAACACAACTCTGAAGTAATATGACAAAATAACTCACAAAGAATTGATCTCAGTTGATGTTTTAACAAAATTATTGCAAGTGAATCAAAATATAGTCTTGATGCTGATATAATGCAGTCATCAATAATTTAGAAAAATCAGATTATGAAATAGAGGAAAAATGCGAATTTGGGACAGAATGCTTTTGTCTGACCTGCTTACCCACGCATACGTCAGTTGCAATGCCACAAATAACCAGTAATTGTATCCCTGCCTCAGCGAGAGTATGCGAAAGACCTGTGTTGCTTCGAGCATTGCCCAAGCCGAATGCAGAGTAAGATTCCACGTCAGGCTCAACGCCTTTGTGTATCTGCTTTGCCCTTTGGGGAATCTAAAATTCAGAGGGATAAGTCATATGGATGCGACACGTTGCTGTCAATAGCAGCCACTATATGCTACCACAATGATGGCAAAACAAATTATTAAACGCTCAAAATTATAGCACCGTGGCCGGTATATTAACTAGCGAAACAAGTAATTCGTGACCCAAATATAGTCGCTCTAAAATATAAATAGTTTTTCACCTAAATTAATTTAAAAAAAATAGGAAGCTGCAGTTTTGCAGATGACTCGAATGTCTTGTGAGTAAGAATGTAC